TATAATTAATTTCTTCCCAAAGCCATTATCTGATGATAATATGTGATGACAATATCATGATTGAATTATTTTTGGTTCTACTGCTGTGAGCCTTATTTACTCCTAATCTTCACTATTATTTGCTAAGCCTGTCATTCACCATGCAGATCAAAACTGAGAATGTGTTGCCTTTCAGAGACCATCGTTTCTAGATACATTAATACAGACACCATCAAGTGCTGGGAAACAAGTGGTGGATCCTACTCTGGTTAAAATTATGAGCATTTGTAACTCCTACTAAAATAATTTATGAAAGAAATAGAAACATTCATTTGTTAATGTCTCTTCCTTGTACATTAGGAAGTAAAAAGAATAGTAGAGATCCAAAAGAAAAATAAATAGCCAGTTCAGGTGCAAACAAGCAGTGCAAATGCAACACAAATTTACACTGGCACACGGAAAATGAATGAAACGTTCACTGATACTACGGAGGAGATGGACCAATGGTAACGCTTTGAGCCCAGCATCTCATTGGCGTAATTTAGATAAAGCACAAAGCCACATAATGGGTGGTACAGAAGAGTAATGTCATTTGAATTGCAGTGACAAAAAACAATATAAACCCATGAATTTACTCTGTGAGAGCAAGGCAGTTAAGTGCCTCTAAACAAAAGACCACGTTTTTCTAATAAAGACAGAAGATACAAGACAGGATGAGTGACAGCAATAGACTTAGAAGTGAAAGACATAAAATACCAAGATTGTAGGTGAATTGGTTTGCCCTACATTTTAACGATTTATTGTTGACTTTTTTATCTTCCCATATTTACAGAATCCTCTTTCTCTGCGATGTCAAAGCCAAGATACTTCCTCCCCATCCCATTCTCTCACACACTGAGAGAGATGGAAACGCTAATATTTACAAGAAGCACAGAGCTTTCATGTTACTTCCACCATGGTTCAGTAGCTATGCAAGAAGTCTAGCAATAAACAAAAAGTGGTTGTGTGTCTTGTGTTATTGTTACAGTACAAGGGGTCAGGAATCATGCATGTATTTTTTGGCATGCAGACAAATCTACAGGACTGTTACGGAAAGTTTATTTTCACTGGCTGCTTACACAAGTGACTACAGGTGGCAGAGACCAACATGCTTGGATCAGCATTTCTGCACTACACAAAAAGTGACCTGTAAAAGGAGGCAAGTAGCGCTAAATTAAGAACAAAAAAAGGGAACAAAAAGACTGCCTTTCACTGAAGTGTGGTTGACTAAAGTGAGTGCTATCAGAACACTCCAAATATGAAGTGGCCATTTCTTTCAAGAGCTTCTAACATATTGTTGAGTAAGATTGTTGTAATTTCCACCTAAGTGGCGTTATTTTGTAGTGCACTATCACTACAGAGGCAGTTAAAAAAAAAAAAAAAAATCAAAACAACAAACCAAACACAAGAAAGCCAAAAAGCAAAACCACCACCACCTGGAAAACCAACTCAGCTTTAAATAGAAAAAGAAATTATTGTCCCACATTTCAAACTCTAGTTATTTGCTAATTTAGCAATGAATCCAGGCATTTATAAAGAAGGAATACATCCAGTTTTTAAGAAGGGATGCTATCAAAGCTCCAAGTGTCGGAATTTGACTAATTTTATCATCATGTTTTATCTCCAAAGTCAATATAAGCCTACTTACAGGATTATTTGCAGTAAGTGATTTAGCCAGGAAGACCAGTAAAGTAACCCAACAAGAATGTTTGGCTAAAAAGTGACCTCCATTATCAAATTCTGAGGATGATATAATTATTTTTGAATAATTATATATTGCAGCCAGTCTCCCTTCCTTCCTCCTCCAAGGTCAGGGGAAACAAACCATAATGAACCAGAAGTCTACCTCTTTCAAAAGACTTCTGTATTAATAGGAAAGTAACTCATGAAACGGTCAGGAAATAGGAATGGGTAGATGAGCCATGTACTACTATGTGCTGGCTGTTACACTAAATTGATATGGAGGTTTTAATAATAAATTTCATCTACCTCCAGGAAATTCAGTAATTTAACTCTTTAGAAGTAGATTCATAGAGCAGCTGTTAAAAACAAGGCTGCACCAATATTTTTCTAAACAGAAAAAGAGTGGCATTGCACAACCTGGACTCCATCCTCAGCTTTAGAGTTCTGCTCTACAAGCAGCCGCTTGTGGATTTCAGAGCTAACTGTGGTACCGAAACAAACAGCGCAGGCTATAATTTCTTTCAGAACAAATGATCTTACAGTACCCACAACCTTGAGCCTTGTGGAAAGTTTGAATGGCTCCAGAAGAATCATCCCCCAGAACACTGGGTGTCTGGCTTCTCATTTTCCACTGCTTGAGGGCCTGCTCCCGCTTCCCCTCTCTTCCCACTCGCTCTCCTTTGCGCACTGCTCCCTCAGATCTTGCCTTCTTATCCCACACCTCTGAGCTGTCAGCAGCTACCCACCTTCCTGCTTGCCTAACACCTCGCTCGCCCTCCTCTAACAATATCTGACACTCATCCTCAGCCTGTAATTTCTAGTCTGCTATTCCATATAAAACCATAACCTTCAATCTTGTTACCCTCCTCATACTCATTTTGTCTTCTTTCCACTCATTAGAACTCCCACTCATTACAAAACAGACAGTCCAACAACCCCGTTCTCCTTAACTCTTTAACAACCACTTCATTCCCTGTAACTAACTCTTCATGCAACTGCTCTGCTCTCTTGGCTTCTGTGACCTACCTGAAAAGGCCCCCACTGCTCTTCACAGACTTCCGAGTCCTCCAGTCTCTTCTCTCAATTATTTTGTCTCTACTTTCCCTAATAAGATACGTACCGTTCCCATTATCGGTCTCCAACATGACTCAACACCACTGAATGCACTGAGGAAATATTTCACCATGGTTTTCTCTGCTATAATTCTTGTATTTTTCCCTTCACCTCAAGAAGACTGCCTCCTCCAACACTATGGTACCAGCAGTCACAAATCCACTGTCTACTCCCCACCTGTTACCTCAAACCTCTTCTTCTTTTACCAGATGAATATTCATGACTTTTTCAAAGAGAAATCTAAAAAGATCTGGCAAGACTTAATTCTTTGACATTCTAAGCAAGTGCCCATATCTTCCATTATCTCCTGTACACCAATCTTTCCCAAACTCAGAAAAATTTCAGGCCATCCATTTATCCTTTTCCAGTAGACATTATAGCTTGGTGCAGACATACTGACTATATCTTCATAACCAAATCTTGGCCTCATATTCTTTTTTGATCAACAATGTTATCAAGCTGTCAGGTGCCTTCCCAGAATTCCTAATTTCCTGTAAGAAACAATGCCAGAAGACGGGCAATCATTTGCACAAAGTCATCTAAATCAACTAAGAATGTCACATTAGGCTGACTCAAACTGATAGTAAACCCAACCTTTATGCACAGAAACCTTACAGGATCTCTAAGCTTTTTTCTCTACTGCATCACACACTGGTTAATCATCAAAACCAGTGCAGAGAAGGCACAAAGTTCTTGTGGAAAACCACTTAATCTTGTGCAGCCACAAGTGACACAATTCATCTTCCACTCGCAAATTTCTTATGCACCCACATGCGTGCCCTCTGCACTTTGGATGGAGCTAATTCAGGGCTGCCTTATTTTGCTTGTTGCACAAATACTAGGCTCAACTGGGGGATGTATGCGTGTAGTCTCTGTCACAGAGGCAAGGAAACACTGCCTTACTCTAGAAGCCTGAAAACAAAGCTCTCACTCTTGTGAAAGTAAGTGTAATTTTATTTCTGATTTACACATGAGGAATGCAAACACACAGAGATGGGGACTTCCAAAGAATCTATGGGCTGAAACAATCGGTGCATACCAACTTCCTTACTCTGCTTATGACTTGTAAAACAGCACTCATACTACACAGTCTCACTAGTTCTAATTTTTAAGGCTACAGAGAAAGTAGAAAAGCCTAGTAGCAAGTTGGATCCATACACAGAACATCTCCCAGCTCACTCTACAGAAAAGCACCTGCACTTCTTCAGCTGTTTCCAAGCCAGCAGGTATAAGACAGGAAAAACAGATCAAAGAGACTGTGCTGACAGCCATCCAAAACAATGCATTCTGCAGCCAGGGCAATGAGCCACAAAGGGAAAGTAAACAGGCCTTCAAAGAGCAACATGGGGCTGGACCAAAAAAACATTTAGGCTGAATGGTAGTGGCTCCACCACGCAGGGTTTTGATGGCATGACTCAGTTGGTCATAAATCTATAAGTTCCCACATTAAGAGGTTTTTCCCCAAGCTGAAATAGTTTGTGGTCTAGAGATGGGACAGGAAGCCAAGGACTCGTGAATTCTCATTCCCTCTCCGACACAAGCTACTCCATTGCCCTCAATTCCTGTGCCTCAGTATCCCACTATCTATTTCACAGAGGTACTGTGAAAGTTACTGGAAATTCATGGAAATTAAGAGGGACAGGAAGACAGACACATATGAACTATGACAGCTAATACTTCATTTGTTATCAAGTGTTAATCTTTAGTGATGTGTAACATACAGATGTTTTCCCCATGAATTAACTTAAGACAGAATTATTAGAGCAGTAAGGAAAAGCTCATGATTATTTATATGCTACATCTCCACTCTTCAAAATACAAGTCGTTTTGAGAAAATACACTTTGCCACCCTTGAAAAGGGCTAAAAGGAAATAGTAAAAATATGTACTTTTTCCAGTAAATCACTGCCCACTCTGGATTTAAAATAACTATTACAAATTACTATTTACAACAAAAAACAGTTGTAAGTTACATTCTTGAGGACACTGATTACAGTTAGCCACCTTCCCCACCTGATACAGGTTTGAATAATGATTCAATATTCTCGAGGATTGGCTGCTGAAGAGGCTGTTCAGCCATTGCAAGGCACGCTCATGAGCTTTCAGGAAGGAGTAAATTCAAAGGAGATGATCTCTTAACAATAAAAAATTATTAAAATTAACACATTAAAAATAAGTCTTTCTTACCTATTAGTATCCTGTTCTTTGCAATACCATTTTTAATTTCATCGTTGATCAAGTCTGTAAGTCTCCAGCACATAGAATCAATACTTTCAATGTGTTCTGGACAGTCATTAGAGATCTTATACCTGTCAAACCACACAGTAGAAAAGGCTCCTTTCTTAGGTGTATATGGCCTGGAGTGGTGGAAAGAAAGAAAACAATTGATTAACCAAGCATAAGATCAAAAGACTTCAGCATACATGATAAATAAAATTTCAGCATCTCTCCAGCAAAGGAGAGAAGGAACTTCTTTCAGGTCTAACTCAACTTACATCCAGTCACACTGCATTTCCTTGCATTCAAAACATGGTCCTTCATGAATGAAGTCAGCCTTTGGAAGCCATGTAAAATGCAAGTTTCAGTCAGTTCAATGTCAAGGTTGATCAGGTCAGGTAAACATTTTAAATCTTAACTCTGTTGAGAGGTTCTTAATCCTAAGCAAAGTTAGCATTGAAATTCACCTTGGAATAGGACAAACTGAAGTAACTGCTAAACAAGACAGCTTTGCAGGAGCTAACTTTATGGGCTTCAGTTGTCTCATTCTTGTCGAAATTGTCAGGAGACAGGTGTTATAACCTCTAGGTATTTTTAAAAATGTCTTCATTCTCTCAATTTGTCTTTTTCTTAAATAAATACAGCCTCAATGGTGCAGGTATCTCATAAAAATAACCAGAAGAAATGCCATGTGCTTACTGGATTGACACACAGACACAAATTAGAGACATGATACCCCCCCTGCCATAATACTCTGTTGTTAGATTAGTATTTTAAGTGCTCATAAACCTCAGATAATCATGTAAGCTACAATTCAAAGCAGGCTTTTCTTTGTTTTTAAATAAAGAAGACAAATAGAGCCCTGAAATCCCAAGAAAGGTGGTCTAATTGCCTTGCAATTTCTCTACAATTTAATACCAAACATACTGCTATGAGATTGATGCTTCATCTCAAAACCAATCCCCCTGAAATCCTTAATTGCAATGTTTAATCAGGGGGCACATTTGTAATTTTCACTTAAGATCAGATCAGATTACAACCATTGCCTACAAACAGGCAGCCTTTGATAAATTTATGTGGATGGGAACCCATGGAAAACACTAACATTGACTTCTGTGCTCTCTCTGGATTTTTTTCCGTACTAGGATTAAACAAAAACACAACTAACCTAAAATGAGAAAGCCACTATTTCAATTACTCTTAATGAAGGAATAAATTCTGCCTTTATTAATACAGAGAGGCTTCACATATGTAAATGACTATCTAAACCAGAAATACTGCCACTAGTACAAGCGTTCAAGAGGCAGTATACTATGTGCATTACTCAGTCACTCAAGTAAAAAAAGAAAGAACACAGATTTTCTTCTGCTCAGTGCCATGAACATGAAATAAAGTCCATGATTTAAAAGCTGGTAAGCCAAATATAAAGAAAGAGGCAACAGCAACAAGACAGGTACAGACAGACTGCACTGTTTCATCTTTTTGAGCACAGCTTCAGGAACAAGTACCTAAAATTACTACTTTTCAAAATGGCATACAAGTATCTGGTCAAGTTCAGCACAGTGTGTGTCTTAAGTAGCCCCTCATTCGCTTAACTCAAAACAAACCATATACTTAAGCACTGGAATTAACAATAATTTTTTTTTCAAGTTAGTCCTTACTTGTCTATTAAAAAAAGGTAACTCCTAAATTGAACGAAATGCAGTGGACATATTTTGTACACCCAACAAGCTAAAGCTAAGTTTGAAAAACATTGTTACAATGCTTCTGCTTTTCTTTTATTTTTTTTTTTTTAACTTCTCTTTAGTATTACCACTGTCTCCAGGATTCGTCCCAAATGAACTGATCAACACCTAAGAAACAAGATTACAAATCTCTAATTCACAAAAGTCAATTTCTAAGAGGAGACATCCCAGTCAAAAATATCAACAGTGGAATCAGTGGAGCTTCTGGAAGTCACTTGGACGATGTGATGTGCAACAGACTAAGTACTTGGGGAAACAGCTTTTAATTCACTGTTTTAACTTCCCTCAAACACTTTTACATCAATCCTGGTTAAAATGCTTAGCAGCCAGAGTGCTTAATTTTCTAGTAAAACCAGAGTACCTTATATTTGTGTGAGAAAAGATGTGTAAAGTTTTAGTATTATTACAGCAGGTTGATCCAGGATTTCCACAGACTGAAGATACAGATCTGTATCCCATTACAGAAATTTACATTTACTATACAGAAATATTAAAACAAACTTCCCCACAACTGAAAGACAGATCCATACAATTTATAAACAGGAAAAAAATCCATGATGAGATTATAATACTTGATCAGATGTCAAAACTCAGGACTTTCACCTGCTGTCTTTGCAAATTCATCAGTAAGACAGATGAAAGACTAATGTGTCTTGAGGCCCCAGGAGAAGACCTCCAAGCAAATGGACAAGATGCTTTCAGCTGTCTCAAAAACATCCTTGTAACCACTCTTGATTTCTCAGAAATGCATTAAAAATAACCTTTACATAAAGCTGAGAAGTAAGATTCTTTCAATGGTAGACCAAACTGGCACATCTGTTTTAGTCATTCACCTTGTTCCTTAAATAAATCCCTTTATTAGCTGGCACACTACAACTCAGACATTACCACGGTAAACAAATATGTTTGGCATGGAACCATCTGTACAGCTCCAAGAATACAGCACAAAAATTTTTCATACAATTAAACCACAAAAGAAAAAATAATAAAAAAAACCCCAAACCTACGTTACACGAGAGTCTGGCCTGAAATACAGAATGGAGTGAAAACTCCAACCAGTAATATCAGTACGGTCAGTAAAGGTGAGTGTCAGAACAAATGGTCAGCTTTAAGTCTGGATTTTTTGATTTCCCAAGTTCAATCAGAAGTCATAACATTAGTCCTCATGATTTTTTCCTCTGTGCCTCACTTTTTTTATTCCTTTTTTTTAAATGGTACTATAAAAAAAGTCTCATGTCTCTAACACGTGTGCTGTTGAAACTCAGTATGAAAATATATAGCCCCCCAAGTTGTGTGATTTCGTTGTTGTTTATTTTGTTTTAAAGAGGATGTGTGTTTTTGTTTTGCTTGCTCTGGAGCACACAAAAGATCCAAATCTGTGTAAGAAAACATGAATCAAGAACCTTCTCTCTGAGTATATCCAACTCCCAAACTTCTACCTATTTTTAAGACACATTTGAAACACAATTTCCTATGAATTGAACTAACTCTTAAAAATAAAGAGAAAAGACGACGTAAAGAAGACATGGCTAATATCAAACAGCATTTAAGAAAAAGAAGGCACTCTGAGGAAAAGAATCTTTAAAATGCTTCCCGACATCCTCAAATCCCTCTAGAGAGTGTTTCATGATTACTTTATAGGTCTTATTTTTTAAGGGTGCGCATTGATCTATGATTGTTTTCTCACACATACACTTCTTGCATGAGACTGCAGTTTCAAGAAGATCGCACACACCTAATATTTGAATGTCTCAAAAGGAAAACATATCCTGTAATATCTCTGTAAGTATTTCTCATCCTTTCAATCTTTTAAACATGTATTCAAATAGAAGTAATTTTCACTGTTGATTTCTCTGCAAAGTTTCAACATAATACAGATCATTCAAGTTTTCACAAACTCAAGACAGGTTAGCTTCTGCTAATATAAGTTTTGTGCTAAAGAGGAAAATATCATGAAAGCAGGAAGCAATAACACAATCTTTTTCTACCTTCCTGAAGCATGGATTATATACTCCAGACCTGTTTAATCACAGTTAGAATTGTGCTAAATAGTTTGAAATTATGTTAAGTTAACAGACATGGAAAGCAACCACATGACGATACACAAGGTGCAAATTCAGATCAAAACCATGCCAAATTCTATCTCCAAAATGATGCTATTAGCACAGCAATTCACATAAAACTACAGGTGCTCTTGTTAGTTATCCAATAAATCACTGTCCCTGTCCAACGTTTTAAGTTAAAAGACAGGCCAGCACTGCTAACTGCTTTAAATAGGAAACATAGGAGTAGCAGACAGCATGCTGATAAATAGCAAATACTCTTCTCCCAACTCTTTCTCCTGATGCACAATTGTATCACTGCCTTCACATTCAGCACTATGATCACCCTGCTAATGCAGTCACATAAAACCTAGACCACTGGTGCTGGCTTACAGCTTTCTTGAAGTTCCAGACGGAACTTCCTGAGATGTCAGACAAAACTGGGAATTTATAGTCAAGTTAGGCTTCAAGACTCAAATAAAGAAAGAGAAAGATCAGAATTTTTGAAATCCTCACTTTTGCTTCCTTCCCAAACCCATCAACTCTCAGTTAGGAGGCACAGAGTCACATGAGACATTGTAATATTGTCTTTTGGAAGACTGTACATTCCGTTCGAGAAAATCTACAAAGCACACTGCCAGACTGCTTAAGTTCTACTTTACTCCACTCTGCTGAGACCCCACCTGAAGTACTGCATCCAGCTCTGGAGTCCGTAGTACAAGACATGGACCTGTTGGAGCGAGTCCAGATGAGGGCCACAAAAATCATCAGGGGGGCTGGAGCACCTCTCCTATGAGGAAAGGCTGAGGGAGCTGAGGTTGTTCAGCCTCGAGAAGAGAAGTCCCCAGGGAAATCTCATAGCGGCCTTCCAGTACCTAAAGGGGGCCCATAAGAAGGATGAGGGCAAACTTTTAAGCAGGGTCTGTTGTGATAGGACAAAGGCTAATAGTTTTAAACTAAAAGAGGTAGATTTAGACTAGATATAAGGAAGAAATTTTTTTACAATGAGGGTGATGAATCACTGGAACAGGCTGCCCAGAGAGGTTGTAGAAGCCCCATCCCTGGAAACATTCAAGGTCAGGTTGGACGGGGCTCTGAGCAATCTGATGCAGCTAAAGATGTCCCTGCTCACTGCAGGGGGGTTGGACTACATGGCTTTTAATGGTCCCTTCCAACCCAGAACATTGTATGCTTCTAGAAGCAAGTCTTGACTCTCTTAAAGTTGATAGCAGGCTTTTCCAATGAAAGTAAAGTTACTCCCCGTTCTCAAATTCTTTCCTAGCATTATCTCACTGCTTAATATTAGTACACAATAGAAAATCTAGTTCATAATTCTGCTTTTTAATTCTCACT